AGCTGACAGAATTTCAGCTGCAGTATTAGATGATTTCTTATTCAAAATTTATCTAGACATAACAGCAAGCAATATGAAGTTAAGAAAATACTCAAAACCTAACATATATAAACTCTGGTATATCCTTTTGTCAAGCAGTCTACTTAATCTGTTCAAGGAATCTCTAAAAATAACAGAAACAGAAAAAATATTGTAAAAGGATAATATATGAAACAACTTCAAAAGAATCAAAGACCAACAAAACAAGTACAATTTACTAAGAAAGGATGTGAAATAAATTGTATAAAATAAAATATCACTAAATTGAGCTATGTTTAATTTTTCAGTGATTGTCAAGGCAAACAAAATGTGCAGATCACACAAAGATGATTGTGATAGTATTATGAAGAGGGATGGAGTTACCTGATGAAACACAATCATTCAAACAAATTGCATTTTAACACTGAATAAGAAGCTGGTGGCAAGTTCATGAAACCAGAAAGATATATCTTGGAAAGTCATGAATTCAGAATAATCTGAGTTTCTTAACAAAGAAGAAACTGAACACATGTTCATGGCGCTGCAGGGTGGGAAAAACTGCTAAGGCAGTTCTTTGACATACAAGCAGAAATAAACTGAAACTGGAAGGTGATTTTTCCATCTTTTTAGAACATAATGTTGAGACAAATATTGAAATAACATGTATAAGAATGTAAAAAACTGAAGGAAATACAGAAACACTACACATGCAAGTAAGATGGAGAAAATTATTTACAAGACAAGACAGGCTCTTGATAAACTGTTTTGTTTATCAACAACCGAGCAGAACAATCTTCATGAGAAAAAAAGTACTGACTGTACTTTTTTTCATATAACAGACACACAAATCAAGGACAAATCACTATAGACTTAAGCCAAAAAACTCAAATGAGCTGATGCAACAGTATTCAAAATTACCTACTGGAACACATTTCTGTGGAAAAGGGGTTAAATGTGAAAGGGCTAAAACCATCAAACGTCCAATGTCATCAGAGAAAAACAGTGGTTCTCTGGGTGGTACACAGGCAACCAGAGACACTATGCTTAAAAAGATAGTATGGATGTAAAGGCCTACACATATACGCTCACCTCTTGAAAGGAGTTCACACCTGATAGGTTACATTTGTTTCTCTTTAATCATCCAAGTGTTCCATGCATAAATAGGTGAAACAATGTGGATTTGGGAAAAACTGGAAATCCAGGGGAAGGAAGTGGAGGAGAAATGGAACATTGATGAAGCATAATTTGGTACAGTTCAAGTAACAAGAATATAGCAACTTTTAACTTCCCCCAGCATAAGCAAGGCTCATTCTTGCCTTATATCACAAAACTACACTTAATTATTTCACATCATGTATATACTAAAACCAAACCAAACCAAAACAAAAAAGGATTGCAAGGATGAAAGATGTACTGTTCCTATAATTGGAAGAAAATAGGAAAATGACAAAGATCTTGCCACACAAGGTGCTGATCCTTGCTGATACAAGGACTGGATGAAAAGAAACAGGTGGGACATTTCAACCTCTCATATGAGAGCAACTCCTAAACAAGAAGAGGAAGAAAGCTCAGGATAATACTTAAGTGAATGTAGACAGAGAAAATCTAGAATGGCAAGAGTAAGCAATGCACAGACAGTGTTTCTACAGTGCAAGAAACATGGACATGAATAAGGCCCATGAGAAGCAGAAGTGAAATGGGGATACTGATAGTCTGAAGGCCTAACGGGAGACCTACAGAGCCCACTTCAAACACAATGATGGTGTGTATTTTCAAAGAGGAGTATGCCAGGAAATATTCACACAGCTTATCATTTGGGGTCTTTCGATAACTAAATGTGATTAAAACAATCATCAAAAACTGATTAAAACAATTTCTCAATAGCTGTCAGTTCTGAGTCTATCTATAGACAGTGCAGGATCTTCCTACCACCTGTAACACTGTTCAACAGATAGCCTGCATGTGACAGGTAAAGGTGGAAAGCTATTTTTTTCTGAAGTGGATCAGAAAGTAGAGCTTACAATACGATACTGCTATAAATTTTGCATTCTACAGTTAAAGAAAACATCTGGCAAAAGGAATTACTGATGTGTGTTCTTGTTTAAGAAACAGAAAAAATGTCAAACAGGCTATTAAAATGGTCCTTATTTTTTCCCTTCTCTTCTCTTCCTTCTTCCTACCTTTTCCCCATTCTCTTACCTTAAAATATGGAATTCTGCCATTTCTCTTCTCCTTTCCACAGCTTAATTCAACTTCCTTGCACCAAAACTTACTTTCAACAGATAGTAAGACCTCTGTTATTCTGTCTTCTGTTAATGCCTTCCGTATGTCTTTTTCTTATATTGTCTCTATAAAGTTATTTCTTAACTCTCCTGTTTGTAAAGTTTGGTCACATTACAGAGCAAATGAACTTCAGTCACAGTAGCATTGACCCTGTATCTTCTGTTGAGGCATTTGAGTGGGAGACGAACATGAAGGTCTAGTACTAGAAGCCAGGCAGCCTCAGACACACAATATCAGCAGATGGACAGTTGTATTAAATCATACTCCACTATTTCAGTGTTGTTACATAATCAGTTTACAGTCTAACAAAAAGATAATGGAGAATGAAAAAAATAAGATTTTCAATTCCACCAGAGCATTTGACCACATTATTTCTATGGGTTGTTTTTTATAAAGCAGCTAACATAGTCATTAGCTGCCTCAGATTACTGGAGTATCAGCTATCTTACGATAGCTCTCAATTATTTTCTCTTTCCATTAACATCTCTGGTATTGTGCTCAAAAGTCTTATTGGCTTTTTTGATACAAGAAATCCCCAGATTTCATCAGTTCATCAATCCCTCCATTAATCAGTTTCACCTCAGTAAAACATGATGAATAAAAGCGAAGGTTTTAATTGATATGACAAAGCAAAATAAAAAAGCACTCAGACTTTTAAAATTAAGTTATTAAATTAAAGACAAATATTAACTATCAGGCAATTACATTTGAAAGGATTTTCTTTCTCTAGTAGTAAGGATACCTGAAACTGAATCATGTCATCATCCATCTCTGTTAAAGTCTCAGAAGTCTGTGTATGTCTAAGTGCTGACAGAAGTGGTCTATCTGTCCAACTGTCTGATAATTTCATGGTTTAGCACTGCAGTAGGAGGTGCCAATTAAGAAGGAAGGGCTAAATTACGTATTTAATTTATAAATCGTTTTTATCGATTTATAAATCGCTTTAAGTGCAGAGCTTGAATATTTCATAATCAGTGTTTCTGAGTTTTCCCCACAACCACCTTTGACAGCAACACTCTGACAGCATTGTGGTATATTCCAACACAGTGAAAACATTCAACCATTTTGCTGCTAAGCCATCTTGAAATCTGAACTGAAAGACAGTTTCAAAGCAGAAAAAGGGAGAAGGTGGCTAACTGGTGATGGAAGTAGGTCAACATTGCGAAAGATAACTAACTCCCAAATGAAAGTACTAGACAAGTACAGTGTGTGCATTTGTTTCTGAGGTTTTTCTTATTCCTTTCCATGTTCAACACCAAAATGGTGATTACCATATCTTTAAACTAAACACTAACATGCAAACAATTCAGGCCACCCAACCTGGATTAACTATCTTCTACTCAGTACAAAATCAGCTCTGACTTCAAACCAGGCTCACCAAAGATACAACACACAGAAAGCTTTTCACATCTAAGACACTCTTCTGTAGTGGGAGATTACTTAGCAGATGCAACAGGTATTTGAGACATTTTTAACTACAGTTATCTTTGACTCTGTGTTGGAGATTGTTGATTGTTTTTTCTGAGGGAAAAAAATCCTGCAATCTGTATGTGTAATTTAATTAGCCCACTATAATCTTTGTTAAAGCAAAGCAA